AGTACTCATCAAGTTTTTCCACGTCGAACTTAGGGCCTAGACAGAGAATAACAGAAACTTAGATTAATTAATTCTAGAAAAGTAGTATTTTTAGACAGCATGCTGGTACTTAGGGGTCATCATCATTGAAAATAAGCCCTTTTTCATATCAGCCTGACTTGCATAGCACAAAGCTTTTCTGTGACAATATGATTTCAAAAGGTTTATTATCAAATTTAATTTATGTTCTCATTCTGTAAAAATTACAATTTATAAAATTTGTTTTCCCTCCTCAGCGAATTATTGTTCTTTACCCACTAATGGGGGACCTGGTCTCTTTCCCAGACTCTCACTGAGTATCACTCCTGTAACAATAAACAATCTCATCTGCTACATTCTTACCAAACAACTCCACAATCTCGTCCTGAGTTATTGCATGCGGTCCAACTACAAAGATTAAAAGTATAAAACAAAGTTTAACTTATTTAGTTTAAAAAAAGTAGGGATAAAATTGAGGCACTATGCAAACACCTAAATGGTATGATGATGATATTAAATTTCATTTCAAAAATGGTATATTTAACATACAATTTCTGTCAAAGTCTTGTGACTAGTTGCGTTTTATTAATCAGGACATACATACAGTACATACCCATGACATCTTATTATTAGCAATTTTTTAAAGTTACCTGAGATCCCCATAACTATTAAGGTAGACATGTCTTTTTCTTAATAAATACATATAAATATCTGTAAATATACATATATATTTCGGTAAAAGAAAAACCCTGTATTTTCAACTCTTTTGAATTATTTGTATTTAAAATAATTTTTACTGTATTTTTTTTTTGTACATAATAATAAATACTCTAAATCAATGGTTTATATACTATAATTATTATATATCATTCATTTTGTCCTCTCTAGATTAAAAAAAAAAGACATGCATATTCATGCACACAATGTGTTTTGAGTTGGATAATATTGAATAAAGATCCTAACAATATTCTATAGAATAAACAATCATAAACTTACCATCAGGTTTTCCATTAGGAAATTCAAAGCAATGAACAAAATAAACTCCATCCTGGTTCAGTAAGGATAGCATCAACTTGAGGTAGCTACCAAAAAAAAGAACATAATCTATCAATGTTATCGCATGCCGTAAAAAAACTTTGAATAGAAGCCCTATGGGCTTGATCTCAAGAAAAAGCCAATCTTGAAATTAGGCACCCCTCTGATCTTTTGCAAATGCTATCTCAATATGAAGCCCATGGGCTTATAATCAATATAGTATGGTCTTCTTTTCGAGATAGTACAGTAGACCAACACATGAAGTTATAGTTATTTATTTATTTATTTTTTCCATGGCCTACATAATATATACCGTACATGAATTTCAAAGAAACAGATAAACAATGGAAAACACACTTGGTTTATTTAGTTGTTTAGGTGATATAATGCATGTATCGTACACTAGCGGAAAATTGTTATTCTTAGGTTAGATTAAATGCATTCCAAAATTCCCTTCGGGCTTTGCAGGCCCTCAGAAAATGTTTTCAAGCATTAAATCTAACCTTTGAATAATAATTTTCCTAAAGTGTACTATGCGGAGCTCTACTAATTGCTTAATAATACACTTCATGATATAGACTGGTGTTCTCTCTGATGTTGTGATTGGAAAAAATAAAAAAAAATATGATTTCTTGTTTTTTTAACAGGAAGTATTTTTTGTTTTCAGTAGGCTTACTGTTTTATAATAGTAATTCCCAAAAATTTACAAAATTCATTTTGAAAAGAAGCCTACTCTTTACTTCACAAAAGTAGCCTCAAAAAGAAGCCTCTTTTGAAAGGAAGCCCATTACGAAAAGGAGCCTACCCAACAGTCTAAAAAAAAAGAATCCCATGTTTCACGGTAGTGTATCATGTATTATTTTTATATTCTATAACAATTATCATTATTTTAATATCTATTATTATACTTACCATTGTCTTTGGTCAACATCAAGAGCTTCTAGTGCACCACGATCCCAAATCCCATCAACTTTACCTCCAAACTCCCTTTGTGGAAAGTAAAAAGAGTAATTGAATTTAATTAACAATTAAATGATGAAATATAACTAATTTGGAAATTTTAAGCCCATAGAGTTTTAGAAATGCACTTTATAAATATACAATAATAATAATAATGATACTCTCTCATCATACCACTCTACATGGACTCAATGTTGAGTAGTGGAAATAGGCCTATATAATCCTCTTATTTTGTTTTAATACAATTCATAAAATTAATCATTCCATTATTTAACAGATATTACCTTTTATACTTGAAGATATTACACTGGAAGATTTTAATTTTACCATCTTTACTCTAAAAAACAAATAAGAAAAAGTATTTCAAAACATAATAAATCTTATAGGCAAAAATGTTGTGTTGTCCAAGCCAGACCTACAAAAAACCTTGTAAATAAGAAGGTCAGATTAATGTTTTTTTCTTACTATTTCTTACTTACCATAAACAATTTTCCTTCCTCTTCACCATCCAAATCAGATTCAATGAATTCCATATCTGATTCCTGGAAAAACGCTTTTATAGCCACATCCGAAATTTCAACTCCAACTATGTTGTGGCCTTGGTCAGCAAGCCTTATTCACAGCAAATAGTAAAAATAAATAGTGACAAATTAATTTGAATCATCAATTTGTTATTATTATTGATTCCCCTCATTGAAAATGTCTGATGCAAAAAAAATCACACGCAAGTAGTTAAAAAATCACCTCATACCTATTTTGTGACCCAGCACCCCCTCATTTAATCATCGAGCTCCCTCCCCAACTCCAAAATTTACTCCACATTTGCTCCCCCCCCCCAACTCCCCCAATGTATTTATAGTGTTTTTTGGTGCAGCGGTTGCCATTTAATTCCAGGGTTTAATTCTTCGCGGTGCTCTCCGCTTGTACTTTTTGGAAAAGCATTTAACTAGTTTTTTTTTTCTCTTCACCCAGGAGTACAAGCAGGTACCTGATAATTTGGGGCGGTCTGTGGTTTCGGTCTTCATTCAATTAGAGACTCGCTTTCTGTTCAGATATTTTTATGTTGGTTCTTAGAGAAATTGGTCTCAAATTAGAGGCGTTTACACCCTTTTGTTAAAAAGGAAATTTCAGGAAAAAAATGTGTAAATGTATTTATTACGCCCGATCCCTTCGCTTGAAATTGTCAAAGGATAAAGATATCATCCTTTTTGATCCTTTCTTAAGCCTATACTTATATGATTTTAAAGTATATATCAATCTCATTTATGTTGGTCTACTGTTTACATTCATCAATACAATTTCATTTTCATTTTCTCCCAGTGATGGCGCCAGGATCTGCCGGACAAGGGGGGGGGGAACCAGG